GAGCCACCGTGCCGCCCTTTCATTTCCAAAAGCAACATTAACGGCTTGTTTTTCCTTGTTCAGAAATAGGAGGTCCAGAATATTTTGCTCTGCACATTGCTGGAACAAGGTGAACTCCAAAAGGATGCTCTTCAGAGGGTCAGTGTGGACTTGATGGGCTGAATAGACTTTTTACACACTGTAGTGGTGATTCTACGATTATTCCAATCATACGATACGGATTTCTAAAACAAAGTGGAATCCTTATCCCGGGAGTTGGGATAGCAGTGAGAGCAGGCCATGAAATTGATGGCCACACCAGACACTGTTGCTTACCTGCCCTTACTGCAATTTTACCAGGTGCTGGGGTGGGGGATGTGCTTGCACTTCTGTGACCCTTAAGTGGCCAACCAATGGCCATTAAGAGCTGCCTCCCTGTCATCAGGATTTTACTTGACGTGGGAGAGGCTGGCACAGTGCCCACACTGTCAGGCCAAATCTGGAAAACGACTGATCAAGCAAGCAGCATTCTTCTCAAGCCCATTGAAGGTCTGCTTCAAAATACAAGTCCCTCCTTCACCCATCTCCCTTCATCCTGCTCCCATGCCAGGACCTAGTGACCCCTTTCCCTATGCTAGGGCCTAACCTGGCAGTGACAGATGGTGCTCAGACCAGTGCCTGCTCTAGGAGACGACTACATACAGTCCCTCTAACGGCCACCACGTCTGGTGACACTGCTAGGTCACAATAGGCTCTCAGGCAGCCATTTAATTGACAAACAGGGTCTAAAAGCTGGAAGAAGGTCCCACATGTTGTGGAGGGGGTTTCGGTCTTTGGAAGGCCCACCTCACACTAATGAATGGCAAGTTGGCTTGCAACTGGCTACAAAGTGAATCAGCCGAGCAGAAGCAGACTTGTCTTAGACATTTACTGGGAGTTTGGAGCCCAGGCCCCAGCATAAATGCAGCTCTTTGTATACAGCACAAACCAGACATGTGTATAATGCAGCTGAAGAATCCGAGCCAGATTATGTTCTAAATGGAGTCCAGCTGGAGACACAGCAATTCAGGTTTAACATATTGCTCTTGGAAAGAGCAGTCAGGGTTTTAACGATTGAATTGTGGACAGGTTGTGTAAATGTGGCTTGTAGTTCCTGGAGTCTAAGAGTGGTCCAATTGAGACATTCGAAATGACAACTTACATTCAATATCACACATACAGAACAATAATTTCTTCTGCTGGACATGATCACCCAACAGTGAGAACAGACACTCACTTTACATTAATGCAAAGCTCCTGTGCACACATTTGGAACTTGATTTCTTGCCACACATAGGTGGTCTCACTGTCAAGTCAATTCTCAAGTCAATGGGGAGTCCAGGTTTTTACTGAAAAGATATCAGCTCAGGAACAAAAAACCAAACAATAAGCCTCCAGCTGGCTGTGTAAGTGCAGCTTATCCCAATTGGTGAAATAGGGAAACTTATAACCAAGGTGCCATAATGGATACAAACAACAATACAATGAAAGTTCCTTGCACGGGCTGCAAACTGACATCTTGCTTCTCCACACCCCTGCTCCATGCACCGCCAACCCAACGACACTCTGAAGCTGAAGAAAATATTGCCTCACCTGCACCAACACACCATAACAATTATCAACACGTAGACCCAAAGCTTCAGAGTCAGTAGAAACCAACTTGTACAATCAGACGATGGTCCAAATTTTCAAATGCTGAGAGACAAGCAAATTATTAAATTGGACGCATCATGGGATACATGGGAACACCACCCCCTTGCAAGTTCCCCTCCAAGCCACTCACCATCCTGACTTAGAAATAGATCACCGTTCCTTCACTGTCGCTGGGTCAAAATCCTGAAATTCCTGCTGCGTGGGCAGCTGCTCACCACCTTCAAGGGGCAATTAGGGATGGGCAACAACGCTGGCTGAGCCAGCAAAGACCACATTACATGAATGAATGAATTAAAAATTGCTTCCGAGTCAGTTTGCTCTCCATGTTTGAAGAGAAATACAACTGTTTTGGAGCAGTTCAGGGAAGGTTCACTTTAGTCATTCCTGGGATGAAAGGTTTCCCCCTGAAGAAAGGCTGACAATGTTTGGTGTGTACACACGAGTCCAGAAGAAATGGTAAATTTAAATGGGGACTGGGTTAGGGTGGATACCAGGTGGTGTTTTCTTCGGTATGCGAGAATAAAACAGGGGGACATAATTTATTCGAGGCTGAGATGGACAGATTGAGAGACAAGAGGATCAAAAGTTATGGGAAGACAGACAGGAAAACAGAGTTGAGACCACAGCCAGAACCTTACTGAATTGGTAGTGCAGGCATGGAGGACTCGGCAACCTACTATAGCTCCAATGATGAGTCAATGCAGTCAGAAAAACACTTGAATAAAGTAAAATACTGATTCACAGATGTTGTACATGTTAGAGGTAAACAGAACTAGAGGCACAGTTTAGAATCTGGAGAAAACAAACCCAAACAGCTGCAGATACTGGAAATCGGAAATCAGAAATAGAAACAAATGGCTGGGAAAACCCCTGTCTGGCACATCTCTGGAGAGAAAGCAGAATTAACATTTCAGTTTCAATGACCCTTCTTCAGAACTGAAGAACTCTTCAAAATATGGAGTTGCTAGAGACTAGAAAATGTTCCCTCATTTTCCTTCACCAACACCATCTTCCCCACACCCTCCGCCCCCCGCCCCCTGTTGTATCTCAATGTGGAAAGCACCTGCTGAATTCCATTATAAAAGGAGTCAGAGAATGAGATTGTAGATCACTCGGAGATCGCAAGAACTGGCAATGCTGAAGTCAGAGACAACACAGTGTGGAGCTGGAGGAACACTGCAGGCCAGGCAGCATAGGAGTTGGGACGTTGACGTTTCTAGTTAGGAACCTTCTTCAGAAAAATGAAGGGTCCCGACCCGAAACGTCAACTTTCATGCTCCCCTAATGCTACCTGGCCTGCTGTGTTTCTCCAAGTCTACAGGAGAATGAGATTGGAAGTTTTTTTGATGTGGTCAAGTGGTTCACTAGTCAAAACAGACAACATTGGCTTCGCCAGGGATAGCAATGTTGAGAACGCAACAGCAATAAATACCATCTTCTGGAATTTTACTCAATTATCTTTGGAGATTGAGGAGTGTTTACGCTGAACATTCCCCCAGGAAAATACAGTTCATGTTTCATGGATCTAATCTCTCATGGAAAGTGGAATCTTGATGCACTGACAAACTTCAAATCAAAACACAGATTACTGAAAAACCACCTTTATTAATTTGACTAGGTTACACCCAGAAAATGAAGTACTGTAGACACATTTTTACCCAATTACAATCTAAAAAAACTGTGGTTAAATGCAGGATTTCACAACAGAAACAATAGTTTTAAATCCGCTCCTTAAAAATGAACCCAGCATGTGTTTTTGGATAAATCTGATTAATGCATGAACATATATTTAACAGCAAAGTTATGACAGCAGCACGGATGGGTCAAATGGCCTCTATCAGCTGCAGTGCTCAAGCTTTCCTATATAATTCAATTACCCTTATAGAAATAAAACTTCGTGATGGGTTACTCAGGTTGAAATTTGGTTAGCCAATGTTGCTGGTTCTGCAACTTTAAAAGGCACTCAAATTTTATTATCCACCCCAGTGTTGATATTACAGCCCAATTGCCAATTTAATGATATCCCCAAATTTAGACTTCTGCTGTCTGATTCCAAACACTAAATCATTAAGGCACATTACGAAAGGGAGGCAATGGCCTAGTGGTATTAATCACTGGACTACTAATCCAGGGACCCAGGTAATGTTCGGAGGATCCTGGTTTGAATCCTGCTATGGCAGGACAAATTCAAATTCCACAATTAAAAAAAATTGAAATTAAGAGTGTAATGATGACCATGAAACCATGCTGATTGTCAGAAGAGCCTATATAATTTACTCAGGATCTTCAGAGGAGGATACTTCCAATCTTTACCTGGTCTGGCCTATATTTGACTCCAGATTCTCAATGTGTTTGGCTCTCAATTGCCCTGACAGTAATTAGGGAAGGGCAAAAATTGCTGGCCTAACCATTGACACCCACATCCCATGAATGACTATTTAAAAACGTGGTCCCAGCATTGATGCTCACTTCTTCATCCTTCCCTTCTATTGTCTGTATCATTCTGTTTGCCATTCAGCCATATAGCTATCCATTCTGTCACCTGACCCTACAAGCTCAGATCTTAATCAGCACTTTGCGGTACACAAGATGTCTGGAAAGGTGAGAAATACCACACATTGGTACTTCCTACCAACACCCATAGATTAGGTCGCCTGACACCACACATTAACAGTGTTACACTCCACAACACTCATATGACATTATAAAACTGTTCTGGGGTGGAATGGATGTTGGCAGCAAATTATGGCCATGTTAGACAGCAAATCCAGCATCAAGTAAAGCTTGCGCTAACTTCAAAATAATTCTTGCTGTCAAAATATCCTTACTCCTTTCAGTCTCATTATAATATACTGTAAAAACTTCAAATTGAACAGATAGAATTCTGTGTTACATTACAAACTTCTGTAAAGCAAAGGTGGTTACAAAGGACTTTAACATTATACAGTCGTAAACATTGGTTTAGAGATCCCAAACAGTATTTCAGCACAAAACAATATTCCCCTCCCACCCTGAACATTGAGTTTTATCTCTACATAGCTCTGTTTCTATTTAAGTCCTACCAATGCCACCACAATTGAGATAATGTAACTGTGCTCTAAAGCATATTCACTGAAATATGGTCAATAGTGGAATCATTCATATCGACTGAAGAATGGTAAAATGCTCTATAGTGAGGCAGCACAACTTAAAACAATAATCAACATTGTTTTAATCAACACGCAACTAAAATTGTTAAACTGATTAAGATATTTCAAATTCAACTTAAGGAGAAAAATTCTCAAATATTTAAAGTACCAGCACAGGCATTAGTTCAAAGTTTCACTTACCTTCCTATCATTTTGCTCTGTTGAATCACCTACATAATGACCCTACAGGACAGCAAAGGCAATGACTTAATATTGTAAAAATTGCATTCATTTTCCACCTCTCTTCCATTCATACAAGTAAGTTTTCTTTTTTCAGAAAAACTGTTTCCCCAAGGTTAAAAATGTGAAAACTTTCCAAATTTATATTGCACTGTTGCTAATTAAAGGATACGTGAAAGGCAAAGAGTGTACTTAGCAGAAACATCCCACAATTAATTGCTCACTCAGTGAAGAGGCTAAAAGGATAAGCAGAAAAGCAACAAGAGGGATTTAAATTAAAAGGAGGGAGAAAAATAATGCAGCAATTTAACCTCCAAACATTAAGAACAAATCTAGAAAAGTGTTTACAAGTCCATGATTCGCAGAGTCTCAACCCTATGAGAAGGATTCCCCCTAACATCTACCCACAAAGAACAGGTGCAACTGAAGAATAGGCTGGTTAGAAAACCCAAGACCAACATAAGCAGAACATTGGAGGTATTGGGTGGATTGAGGGTTTGGGGAAGGGGTGGGGAGAAATTGAGGCGCAGTCAGTGGATCATCACACTGCAAAGCAGGCCAACGAATGGAATGGTTCCCCAAAATCCAAGCGTCCACAGGCATGGTCTTCCTTAAATGGTAGCACTTGGGGAATCTGTATCAAAATGTCCATCACTTTCTGGAAGAGCTTCAAGCCAGTAGTTACGTTGTGTTTTTGCTGGTTATGAATCAAATGTTGTTCTGCAATCAAAAGGCACTAATTATCGTTTTTTTTTGTTTGACTTATATGTTTCATTCTAATCGGACCCTGAGCTTGGGTTCCAGCTAGCTTTGATCCACCATTGCTATCCAGAATTGACACTTTGCAAAAGTCTCATGGAGTCTAGTAACACAAGCCTCACTTCATTCAACAATTGCTCAATATGGCTGTACCCCAAGGAATGTAACACATTAGGTGACTTGTGGAACAGTATTACTTACATCATGCAAAGGGTAGGCTGCTGTGTAAACTCCACTGGCAATCAGACTGGTGATCCCTATGAGGAAACAGATGCTGTTGTAAACATGAGAGAATTGAATTACATGACATGGCTAAGTCTTTGCCATGTAATAAAAAGCTTCATTATCACAATTGAACTATTCAGATGTTTGGATAAGGACTAAAGGAACCCAGGTGTAGAAGTAACGCGTGGAGATGTTTGCCTTTTTACAATTTCAGAACACGGCAGAAGGTTTTTGCCAAGAAACAACAGCACAGGTCAGTTGCATGTAACTACACAAATTACATTGTCACTGGCATTGGTACTCACCTTCATGAGTGTGTGTATACCCGGACATACAGTACATTAGCCTCATTGGCTGCCTTAGTGGCCATTTATATAAAGATGAATCATAACAGACGTGTCTTTCACCTAAGAGGACAAGGAATGTCTTACCCATGCTGTATTTTGCCCTGGTGCAGGTTGCTCTTTTTAAAATTTCATAAACCTAGCAGAGAAAAGAACAAGTGTATTATTGCATGAAGCACTGACATTATTGTGTTTCCCATTAAAGGTCATGTTCTACAGACTACCCATGTAGAGACATCTAGACATGACATCAGGACAAGACTCCATTTTTCAAATCATCTTTCCAAATTTTCAAGGACTCTAGACAACTTTTATAAATATTCCATCTTCAAGTCGGTTTTTCATGCTTTGTTTTTCTCAAATTTCTCTACAAGCTGTCCTCTTGCTCAAGCCTCTCACTTTCTCAATCAGACTGAGCGAATATTGATTGTTAATTTCAGGTGCTGGGGCAATATTACTCAAAATTCAAAGGGGCACCTTCCCCACCACCCAAATAATACACAGCAATAGAACATAGAAGCATAGTACAGGACAGGAACAGGCCCCTTGGCCCACCATGTCTGCGCTAACCATGATGCCATTCTAAACTAATCCCATCTGCCTGCACATGGTCACATCCCTCTATTTCCGGCCTATATGCCTCTTAAACACTACTATCATATGCTTCAGCTGCCTCAGACATTTTAGGGTTATTCAGGATATTTATACAAACAGTACTTACGCCAGCTCTGTCACATGTTAACAGATGACAATTTCAACATTGTTCCTGATTTCCCCCAACCTCAAAACCCAGACCAAACTGACACTACAAGGAAAGCTGCCCTCAAACACTGACCTGACATTTGACATGGATTTCCACTTTCCTGACAGAATCTGGCATCAAATGAAAGGAATCTACAGGTGTCCAGCAATTAATGTCAGCAAGCAAGGTATACAACCACACTGTAGTATTCACAGACAGCAAAGTAGTACCAAAATCTTTCATCTTTAATTTACATTTTCAGATAAACACAATCAGTTAAAGCTGTTAAAATATAGCTTAGACAATTAAGTGTGCAATTTTATTACAGGAAAATTCTAAATTTGTGGAATGTCAAATTGTCTCCTTGGGGTCAATTTAAGCAGTAGCTATGGACACAGTGAAAGTTCAATCATCATCATGCAACTTTTCTAAAGACAGCATAAAGACATTTTTATCAGTTCGTGGTTTGGTTAGTGGAGAAAGAGTAGTGGAAGTCACAACAGGACACTTCTGAGGAGCAATGAATGCCAGTAATGTTTGGATTTGACCATTATTCTGCTTAGAAAACTGACTGACTGCAAGTTCAGAGTTAAGTGGGGTAATGAAGGTAAGCACTCATTTTCATTAGCACTGCAAAATCCAGCTCAATCGTTTATTGGGAAAGGCTCACGTGGAACTGGGAGGAATTACTATTCAGAAATACACTTGGCTAAGCCATTAGAAAAAGATGACGTCACCAGCTTTGTTCTCCAACATTTGATCCCTCTTCAATTAGTTGCTACAATAAGCAGCATGATCTCATGTCACGATTGCTGTGAAGGTTTAACCTCATCATGACTGGTTTATACTCGGAATGAAGAAAGACCTTAACGATTTACTGTCATGATCGTGTTAGCAAATATGTGCAGAATATAAAGTGATCAGAATTCTTGCCTAGACTTTTCCAACTTCTTTCTGATAGTTGCTACTGTTTTCACTCTAGACTGCATATGGTGAATGGAGAGGGACTATCGGAAGTTGTCAAGAGATCAAAACATCACAATGTTAAAAGTTGTGGCTATATATAGTTAAGAGCAAAATACCAAATCTGCATCCATTTCCTGGCAAATTTTGAAACATCCAAATGCACAAAGGTTCAGTGTCTCCTTATTCTTCAGTGATTAATTATTTGAAATTTTTAATAACACTTTAGTTTTGTTTTCCAGATGACGTTCAAACATATTGAACTAGAAAAGGATAAATTAAACGTTCAGCTTTTTGGTGATTCACTTCTTTGAAAGCGAAGTGAGAAATGAAATCAAAACAAAATGCAAAGTTCCAAAGAAAATCAACACAAAATACTGAGATAACAAGGTGTAGAGCTGGATGAACACAGCAGGCTAAGCAGCAGAGGAGCAGGAAAGTTGACGTTTCGTGTCTGGACCCTTCTTCAGAAACACAAAATACTGTCAGTGAAGTTGGAGGAACACAGCAGGCCAGGCAGCATCAGAGGAGCAGGAAAGCTCCCCTTATGCTGCCTGG